AAGAAATTTAAAGAATTCAAAATGGTAAGAAAACAGAATTTACAAGTGACTAATCAATAATAAGTATATTTTTATAATTTACAATCACTTGATTATTTATCAGGGTGAATCAATAAGTATGTAGTTGGACATAGCATTAGTAGATGAAATTTGATCTTAAATTTTCACCGCATAATGTGAAATCTATACAATGAATATTCACCATTAAATTAAATATCCTGACAAGGAAGGAGATTATGTTGAAAAGTATTTGTTGTGTAAAATAAATACTTTATTCCTATGAGGCTTAGAGAACATTTTGTTGAGTACTCAGTTTCATTAAAAGGTTTTCACACACATATCTTCAAATGTAGTTTTTCTGATTATTATATTAATATATTGTAATTCTGGGGTGGGGGGGTCACTTTATTAATTAACAACAATAGAAAACTGATCCCCAATATTAAATCTAGTAGAATCTTATATTAATGAGTTTAACGATTCCTTAAATATGAATCCCCACCTCTTCTTCAGATATGGGTTAATCAGAATTTGTATCAATAAAAAAATTATTTTCAGGCTTTAAATAACCTGAAAAAGGTTGATAAACCATAAAAAAGAAATCAATTGATCAATCAATCAAGTAACTATACCTTAAAAAGACAGTATGAAACTAATATTTTATTAAATCTGAACCATTATTAGGTTTTTCACATGTGAGTTTGTAAATATATTTTTTCCAATATTTATGTTAATATGTAGCAATTTGGGATGAATCATTTGATTCTTTTGTAACAACAGCAAAATTTCTCCTCGATTTTCTGTCCATTAGAATCTTATATTAATATAAGATTATGTATACTGTCAAAAATGTATATCTTGTCAAGTCCTTAATGTTATGTGTTTTTCATACAAAAGTCTTTAAAAGATCTTGGAACACTGTCACATTTGTTATGGTAAACCCTCTTACAGTATAATGAACTCTTCCTTCTCTCATAAATACAAACTGCAAGAGTCGGATGAGAAGAGAGAGTGAAGTGGAGTGGAGTAGTAGATGGAGTGCTAATCTACTTATTACTAACACTATTGTTTTGCATATATCTTCAATATACTTTTTTCAACCGACCTTTGTCTTCCGTGTCTTTCTTTCTGGCCCCTAAACAGGCCACAACAAAAGATACTGCCACTTGTTATCACCTGTTCTAGTGAGATAACTCTAAAATAGAAATATTTTAGAGTAATCTCCCTTTAAGCAAAAAGTTACATAAAAAATATAGAATTACATGTTTGAATTATATAGCTAGATTTGTATTTGATTTGAATTCTAAACTCTCAAATGAACAATAAAATACAATATTTAACAAAGAATCTTCAAGTAAATTTTCATTACAATCCCTCACTTATAGTTCTATATATAGTTTTAAATGTTGTATAAAGCACGTATCATATGTCTTGAGTATATTCTCATATAAATTTTCATTAAAATAGGTTCTGGTAATGTTCTAGAAACTACCTTCTTCCATCAATAAATGGACAAGCATAATTTGAAGCTAAAAATACATCAAAGACATCCAACTGACAATCAAATTTATTTGATGTGTCCGCAACAAAGGTACACAAGGGAAGAATGATTGATGTTTCTCTCTAAAAGAGCAGCCATCTTTGTCTTCTTGCAAGAAGTGATCTTAGCCATTTTAGTGTGACTCATCAGAAATGGAACAAAAGTTTTTTTACAAAGTAATTTTGTGTTTGATATTCATATCAGTCATTTACTTTCCAGTTCTGATGAATAGTCATGCATGATAAAATAGAAACGTGTAATGCATTGGAATTATACAATAATCTATGAAATGTAGAAATGCATGTATTCAGGTTCAAAAAGGTCAACATGGACATGAGAACAGCTAAGAGATGATAACAGAAAATTAAATGACAAAAATAGAGGTGGGTGGAATACATAGCAAGAAGAAAGGATAACAGATGAAGTAAAAGGTTGATTGATTGGTGCAATCTTGAAAATAAACTTGGAAACACATAAAGAACCATGAAGAAGTCAACATGAATCCAAGAACAGATAAGAAATATCATAGAAGTGATTAAATGGAAGTAGGTGGAATACATAGCAGGAAGAAAGGATAACAGATGAAGCAAAAGGTTGATTGATTGGTGCTCAATGAACCACAAAAGCAGTAAGAAAAAGCTAAATGAAATATGGAGTGATGAAATGGAGGGATTTGTATGTAAGATATGATATAGAATAACATTGTTATGATTATCATAAACAGATTTTTGAGAAAGACCTTTGTCCACAAGTGGACTGACAATGGTGGTTGGTACTACTGATTATATATATATATATATATATATATATATATATATATACACACACAAAAGATTATATATAATTCATCCAAAGGTAAACAGGGAGATAGATAAAAACAGAGATAGAAAGGTGGGAATTCACAAAAGACAGATAAATGGGAACATACATAGACAGGTAAACAAGAATACACACATAGACAGGTAGCAAGGGACATAGATAGATAGATAGATAGATATGAATAGACTGAGATACGAAAATACTAAGATAGATAAGGATAGATAGATAGATATGAATAGACTGAGATATGAAAATACTGAGATAGATAAGGGTAGATAGATAGATATGAATTATCTGAGATATGAAAATACTAAGATAGATAAGGGTAGATAGATATGAATAGACTGAGATATGAAAATACTAAGATAGATAGATATGAAGAGACTGAGATACGAAAATACTATGATTTTGCATAATTAATAAAATGGTAGACAGGGACGTAGGAAAGACAAAGGTAGGATGTTTGGAATTGACAGACAAGGCAGTTGAGAACACACAGACAGGTAGAAGGGAACACACATAGAAAGAGACAGGTAGACAAGAACTGACAGACAAAGGGATGAAAAAGAGTGCAATAGATAGAAATATAGGACTAGTTTTCAGGCAGGTTGACTTATCAATTCAAAAGATTATATGAATTAAAGAAATTGTCTGAAAAATCATTGTGATGTTGAAATTATAAAGAATGACATCACATTTCAACTGACACATAATATATAGAAATAGATTGAGATTGATTTCCCACACAAAATCTACAGAAAAAAATTATTTCAAGCAATTCTAATGTACCTCAGTTTCTGAGAAAATAGAAAATTTAAGCATTTAATATGGCAATTATTTCATATTTTCAGCCTTTCTCTATTGACAAAGACAAAGATCTTGTGTGTGTGTGCGCATGTGATATTAGGTGACTAATAAAAGATAAGGGTCTTAATAATTGGGTGGGGTTTGAATTTTTATCAATATGCAATAAACGGGTGGGGGGCTCAATAAAAATGGAGGAATTTGGAAAAATATTTAAAGGATGAGGAAGTAGAAAATTAGAAATGGTGCAGTCTTAAAAATAGAAATTATCATACCCTCCTCTCTAATAGTCACCTAAGAATATATTAGTAGAAGGAAGCATTTATATATTGTTGTAGCATACCTACGGACAATAATGGGTACGTCTCCATTCACATAAATACTGTATGTTGTCTGCAGTTGCAGCCTCATCTCCAGCTGTGCTGGTCAAACTCTCTGCCTCTGGACAGGGAGGGTCCCCAGACGAGGCTATGTCGAAGGGCAGAATCTTGTCTTGGGAAAAAGCTACCCGACCCCACTTTTAAACAGGGTCTACAGGAAATTTTTGGCCGAGCCTACAGACTCGGATACCCCACATTAAATTCGGCCTTGTGCCACATCTGACCATGTGGGGCAGTTGGTAGATATCCTGCAGTTGGAGATTCATTGTGGAATTCACTTGACTCACTTCTAGCAGTTGGCAAATCTTATATGTGTTGTTTGTGTCCTAAGTATTATCATTCATTACCAAACTTCATTTGATTATTCTATTCAGTAACCTTCCCTAGGTTACAACAACACACACATATATATATATATATATATATATATATATATATATATATATATAGGGATATGACTGGCTTCATGCCCTGCACATTTCCCTGACCTCAATCCTTTCAATTTTTATCTGTGTGGTCACTTAAAACAATTGGTTTATGCACTAGATATTAATAATGCAAAGACACTTCATCAACGAGTCATCAGAGCCTGTGAAACAATTCAACACTGTGTGGGAGTATTTGAAAGGGTTTGCCAGTCACTGATCAGAAGAGTGAATGTATGTGTAGAAGCAAGCTGAGGACATTTTGAACATTTGTTATGAGTTACTGTGTTGAGTTATTATATATAAACATATCTCCAAAATGATGTTGAGTATTATATATTAATATATCTCCCAAAAGCCATCATTGATGGCTTTTTGGAGATATGTTTATATAGACATTTTATCTTGTTTTGGTATCAGGAACTCACCTCCAAAGTTTGTAAAAGTATTTTTGATATGCCCTATAGACATTCTTTCATATATATTTATATATAGGAGTAGACAGGTTTACCTATTGCCCTGTTTACACTTCTCCTAACTTTTGAACAGAAGTAGAAGTTTATCCTTTGTTCAGGATTGGGTTTCCAGTTCCTTCTCCTAAAGCTTTTGCATTCTCTTTCACTCCCAGTAACCCCTTGTATCATAGTGGCATTATCACCTTGCTTGGGGTGAAATGATTTCTTTTCTCGCACTTCCTGCCTATAGAAACCCTTTCTGGTTTCTTGCTTTTGTACCACCTACAATTTTCAAAAATTTAAATGCAACGTCAATTGCCATCTTTTGTCTTCCTGTAGCTTGTTCTTTTATTGTCCTTTCTAAAGTCTTCTCATTTCATTCCCAGTAAATCCTGGAGTTTTACTGGCTTTATCATCTTGCTTGGGGTGAAATGATTAAAAGAAAAAAAAATGTAAGCAATAGAGCAGAAATAATGGCAAAAGAGAGAAAAAAACTGGGGATAAGAGCTCAAATTTCACAAGGAGTTTATTCTTTATTCATTATTTACGATCTGTGACATTTATTAATGGATATAGAATGAGGGTTCAAATTGCAATAAAAACAAGTGTAAGAAATATAGGTAAAAAAATTAATGTGACTGCATCTGCCACATATACACATGTATATTCACAGTAAGTAAAAAAAGAAAGAAAGAAAAAAAAACAGTCAAATTTATTTTAAATATATTATTTATCTCAGGGTTTGGTGACATGGGTAACCTTCTGGGAATTTTGAATTTTCTGAGCTGTTTATTTAATCCAACGGAGTTGATTATTCTTATTCCACTGCCCAGATCTAGGATATCTCATCGTGTTCTCTGCCTTTTTTTTGTACTGTTCAATTATTGTTTGTCCTGTTTCCACTGAGTCTAAGTCTGTACTACCTAGCTCAGGGATTGAACTCACAATTACTATGTTCTTATTTTTAATACTACTCTGTTATTGCTTACCCATTTTCACTGAGTTGAAGTACACACTGCACCACCCAGGGATTGAACTCACAATTACTATGTCACCTAATTCATGAACCAATGCTTTAATCCACTTGGTAATTGCCCTTTGAGATTGATGGTGGATACACAGAGAAGGCCGGAGTGCACAAGTGCCTAAACATTGTGATAACAACAATGTAGATGAGGACTTTAGCCTGAATATAAATTTATGTTGTGTCCTCATGTCAAAAATTCAAAGTTGTTTGTGGTAATAAAATAAGCACATCCCATCTCCCCTCTTGCTTGTAACCATCCACTCTAATGAACGTTTTCAGTACTAAAGCTGAATTAGTCAAATAAAGCTCCAGAAGTTGTTGCGATATTTATTACAATGTTATTTTTAACTTGCAACAAAAGATGTTATTTTTAATTTGAAATAGTGGCTTCTCTGTTCAAAATTCTCTATACAGTTGATAAGTGAAAAAAAAAAAAAGCACTTTATACATAATTTTGAAAAACTTAACCAAAAATATTATCCCTTGTGAAAAACAAAAGACTTCATGAAATAGATTAGGGGTTGAATTCATACAGTAGCATAAAATTCTTGATCTGCTAAGATAAAATTCTTATTTACAAATTGAAATATACCTTTCTGTTGAAGCTTGGATAAGCATGGAATAATAATAATACAACACAAAATGTACGTAAACAAAATGTATTGAAACAAGGAAAAGGTACACAATATTTACAGTTAGTTTTGGTATATTCTTGGGAAGACTGTTCCTGTAGAATGGGTTGACTTAATCACAGTCGGGCAGAGTCTCTGAATTGGATCTCTTGTTACTTCCCTCGTCTTCCCGGTACCAACCCATATTTATATGGTCGGTACTCCACTATGTAAATTAGGTGGATCGTACCACAACACTTTCATTATGGCAAAAGTGATGAGACTCCATGTAAATGATGCCAGCACAGTACCATATAAAACAGATATTGTTTCAACATTGGTGGTGTGACCATACATGCCTGGCCAAGACCTAAATAATCTTGTTCTTTTAGTTCAACAGCATTATGATATGATTGAGAAATATTAATACATTGGCTGTAATACAAGATTTGTGCTTTTCTAAATAAAATTAACCCTTTAACAATGGGAAAAGTCTACATGAATGTACACACCATATACGTAAAAATAAAAAAAATAAAATTTATTTTTTGAAGGGTAGTTCTTATGTTATATTAATTTGGTTATATACAAAAATATCGTACATATTTGTGTGTAAGCTGACTTCATTTTTAGTGTGACTTCTGAATTTTTCACATGAATTTTAACCCCTCCATAAAAATTCACCTGTGTATAGTGCAACCAGTCACTGAAAATTCATGATTTTTAACTTCAATAAAAATTACTTGTGTATAGTGCAACCACCTATTTTTTGTACAAAAAACTGCTCATAAAAACTGACACTATACTTAAGTATATATGATATTATATAGAGATGATATTTTAACTCGTTACGATTTATGATGATGATGATGACATTTCATCATTTTAGAAATAAAGATCTGAAATTTCATCATTCTAAAAACAGCCTTTCTACCAATGATGATTCATGATGATATTTCATCATTCTAGAAATATGAAACTTCATCATTATAAAAACAACCTTTCCACCACAAGCAGAACAATTGCAGTAGTAAAAAGGAACAGCACAGACGTATCTTCTTTGCTGCAGGAAAATCTACAGTTAATAATTTCAAATGCTTTCATTAACCACAAAATTCTTGGAGCAACCAAAAACAAGTAAACCCAAAATTTTGAAGAAACATAAGAGACAATAACACTGAGAACATTTTTGAAAGACATAATACAAATATTGTAATTAACGTCACAAAAAGAAAAATAGACATTCTTGTTATTAATGTCAACATGTGTCTCGAAGTTTTATTGTTTATGTTATTATTGTACATTTTATTCATTTCATTTTCCGTTTAAAAAAAAAAAAAAGAGAAAAGGAATCTTCTGTCAATTACTAATACATATAACATGGGGTAACTTATATTAACAACCTCAACAATCCAACTCTCTCTTAAGCTATAAAAATGAAAAACTGGAAATAAACAAGTGTCTGGTTCCAAAATTTAATATTTTTCAAGAAGATAAAAATCTTTGAAGCAATCCTTGTCATCATTTTTTTGCCTCTTTTCAAGAATTTGGCTTGTTCTTCCAGCTTTATTTACAGGAAAATGCACCAGGAAATGATGTAACCATAAAAATCCTAGTAAACAGTGACCTCATGAATTCTAGAATTGCCAATTAATCATTTTGACTCAAATCATGAATGAATAAGGCCTATGTCATTGGAAAAATTTTTAAATCATCAATTGATGATATCTGCTGATCTAACAATGAAAAATCAATTGATAATGTCTAAAGTTTAAGGGTTAATATATCGCTACATATGTCTAAATTTTGTGTGATGAACTCCATAGTTGATAAATTGCTTGGGAATCATTAATTTTAGAAGTGGGCAGAATATATACCAACTGCAATGGTGATAGAAATATTTTCTTTACATTGAGCAGAAACTCTCTAGAAAGGAGGTGAGAAACAATTACACTAATGATAAATTCTAGACATAATTCTTCATACATAAAAAGTAAAGACAGCTGGTGCAGTGAAACATTTTCTTGGAGACTTGGAAGAATTGTGAAAGAGAATTCTTATCTTAGGTGGGAAATGGGTGGAGACAGATTTGTTTTTATCTACTCTAGTAGATTTTTACATATAAAATAGTCAATGTTTCTGGTTAACAGACACAAAGGGTTCTAAAAGTTTCTTTTGGTTATGTTCTTTTTTTAACTATATTTTCAATGGTGTTAGTCAGAAGTTATTAAGTGTCTCGTATCTTGAATATATAATCAGCATTTGTTTGCATCTAGTGGATTCTCACGCTTTGGGGAAGGCTTTATTTTGTGAAATTTTTATGCTGGATGAATTAATGCCTCGTATCTAAAAACTCATAAAACACTATTCAAAAGAAAAAGAAAAAAAAATTAAATTAGTAACATCATTTTAATCTTTGTGTATGGTTTATGTTTAATGGTTTAAGTTTAATGGTTAACTGCAAGCCACTGAAATAGTTAAGTGACATATGTGATACACTCTTAGGCGATCATGACTCTTTTGATTCATGACTGACTAGGCAGAAGAATTTCCTTCAGTAGGTTACAGTTTCTTTCTCTGGTAGACTGGTTGCCAAACCAGGTTATATGACCTAGTCTGTCCTGCTAATCAACCCATAGCTGGGAAGAGAAGAGATGGAATAACATCTTTTGATTTGGTTTGGTTGTTTTTGCTTAGTGGCATATCAACATCTCTATGGGTTATTTAATGCCGAAATCTAAATATTTTATGTGCAATATTATTTTTTTAGATAATAATGGTTTTAGTGACACAAGTCTTACTAATTAACCCGTAGCTAGGGAGGAAGAAGAGGTGGATTCATACCTTTTCCAAGGGTTTTTGAGCGTAAGTGAATGCAATGAACTTGAATGAATTGGAATTCAGCTCTCCGATTAACAATTCCAAGTAATTATCCATTACACAAACTGCACATCCAAGCTTACAGCATCTGGTATTCCCAAGTGGTCACCCATCTAGGTAGTAACTAAGCTTATTGCTTAACTTTGGTGATCATATGGGAACTGGTGTTTCAACATGAGGTGGTCATACATCAATTCATATCTTTCCCAAAAGTATTTTCACATAAGTAAATGTAACGAACCTGATTGGAATTCAAACTCAGCTGAGACAAGACCCATTATTCTACAATGCACACTGAAGCAATGAAACAAAATAAGAAACATGAAATACAAAGTACAAAACTTGGTTCTCTTGGTTGACAACAAATCAAGGAAAAGGATAACTCTGAATTGAAAACCAATTGGGCATGGAGTTAAAAACTCCACCCTCTATAACCTACTTTCTTTTATTTTTTGTTTTGTTTTTTACAATGATGTTCACTCTGTACAAAGGCTGGGAGCCACTTGAGGTAGAGGGTTACAGAGTAAGAGGCACAATTTATGCAGATCAGTGGGGTAGTTAATGGTTAATCATAGACTTTAACAAGATTACAGGGATCAAGGAAGCGTACTCTTAGGATGTCAGTTCCACAAAACAGCAGTTTATAAGAAGCTGTTGCTTGAGTCAAACTTACATATCACTAGTGGAATATAAAGGAAATGCGGGTGGTTCGTTGCAATGCAATTTCACTATTGAAATCATAGAAGCACCACCTATCACTGTGAGACAATGACCGTGTAATCCACAAAGAGTTTACCAATTCAACCAATTGACCAACTGACTTATAAAAATGATGCTGTACTAGAATAAATCAGGTTCTTGAGAGACTCACAAAGCCATTTTATGTTCAAGGTAGATGTTATATTAATCATAAGTACTATAGATTGTGCATTATATTTAAGGAAAATAGATATGTCACTGTCATTTATTTGCTATGTCCCTTTAGTATGTAGGTGATCATTGCTCTCCACAACTTCCTGTTCCTTATAGATCTTAACAATGGTTGACTCTTTTCGATTTCTCCTTGTCCCTGCTCTACCACTGAGTTGCACAAACTTATTAGGCAAGTTGTTCAGCTGTTTCCCCTCAACCAGTAACTTCCTTCAGTACCTCCTGTGAGTATCGAATTTGCCAAGCCACCTTTCCTCATAATGCAACCCAGAAATTCTGTCTCTTTCTCAATGTATGTGTGAGTGCCTTTCCCATTCCCATTTTCTTTAGAACTATTTCATTGTTCACATGTTCAGTTCATATATTTGCACTCATCTATAGAACTACATCTGTCTCTTTGAACTTTATTTTCATCTGTAAAGAAATTGTCCAGTATTCATTGCCATATAGGAGGATAGATAGACATAACAGTTCAGCACTCTTTTCTTTGTTTCCAATGAAATTTTCATTTATCTTAATATTTTACTTAATTTCTAGAAGGCCTCTTTTGCATATTTTAATATCTTCAGAAATGTTTGGAGCATTTGCCAGCAATTGATACCCATCATGTCTGTGTTGAACCATCATTAGTTCAATGTCAAGTATCTCCTAATTGAACCTCTTAGCATGGTTGTTGCTTGTGGCACCCAGATTCATTGGAAAAAATTAAAATGAGAATGTAATAAGAGCATTTTAAGAAACGTTCAACATTCCATTCTTTGATATGCTGTTGGCATAGAATTCAGCTCTTTGAGACCCAAGAAAGGTCTGTACATCTCACATAAATAAATCCCATGCCACCAGCTCAAGTAGATATTAATATCCTATTAATATGATATTCATCATCGACATAAATATATATGCTATGTGCATATTTGAAAAACCTGACTAAATATACTATATCATATTAATTTCATATTAATATATTTATTTTGAATATAAATATGTGATGTTCATGTCTGAAAAAAAAAAAAAAAACCTTGGTAGGTTTAGAAAATTCTGAGCTCAAGTTTGGAATCAGTATTATTACCTCATTTGTCAAGAAAGCAAACAAAAGATTCTTTTATTAAGTGTAACTGATATAAGATAAGGATTCCTGATCATGCATATGGATATACCATAAAGTCCTGATTTGCAAGAATAATTCTGATTACAGTTTCAGAATTAACACTTTCAATTTAGTCTACAAAAATCCTCATTTACCTCAGTAGCAAAATCTTTTTTCTGCCAACAAGCTGATTGTGTCTTTATTTTGATTTTTAAACATAGAAACTTAGACTACTTCACAACAATAGATTCTTCATTTATTTCAACTTTTTTTTATAGATATCAGCTACGAGTATTGATTTTGGTAGACTCAGAATGAAAAAAATAACTGTCTTATATATGGGATTTGTATATATTGAGACTTTATTATTAATTCATGTTGTTTATAAATTTGTTTGCTCTTTTGAAGATAGCATCTCTGAAAGTGATTAAAAAGACAAAGAAAATATACAGGATATACAATTACATCCCTTTCTCATAGACTACCTTGTCAAATGTTGGACCAAGGCATCATATGTGAACACATGATACAGAAACAAAATTTACAATAATGTAAGACTTGTTGATAACACAATAATACTCAGTAAAACAAACTGAAAATACATTACAAATTTTGGGAGCTATTTTTATTAAGTTAAAACAATCAATCATATTATAATTCTGCAATTCCATAGTTAGAAGATATGTTTTGCCCTGCCAATTCCTCATAAATAATGGGCTATTCCATTTTGATGTTGCAGAAAGACAGAAAAGACATATCAGAGAAACTGTTTGGTTTCAATAAAAAAAAAAGAAAGAAAAAATAAAGAGATAATAGAGGAGGTGATAATGCTCTCATGTGCTTCTGTTAAATGGAAAACTTGTCAATTTTGAATCTTTTCATTTGTATCCTCTTACTTCTTTAAACAATGACCTGCATTCATTGTTATTGCAATACTTTGTTAAAGTTGTTAAGTTCAAATATTTAACAATACAATAGGGAAATTTCCACAGGTATTTTACAGTCATAGAATAAGGAGTTTATTCAATCATTAACTTATGAATTAACACTGAATATATTCACAAATGAAATATAACTAAGTTACCAAATTTGAAATTAACATAAAAAGTCATCACAGGATTCTAATAGAATGGATTTGATAAAGACTGAGGTCAGTCAAAAGATTAAAATATTAAATAAACTGTCATGAATGGTAGACACTTCTTTCATACTTTCAATTCTAATAGACAGAAATCAACTCTCTATTTATTCTTTTATCTTCTGCCTGTATCTTCTCATCTTTGGTGCCAATTTTTGCTGATTTCAAAAGAGCACAATTTACCAACTTTGATACTTCATAACTTTGCATTCAAAGAAGATATCAAGTTTTATTTTATTTCTATTTTCTATAGTGTTTTCTCCATATAATAGAGTATAGGACTACCAAATATCAACTTGGTGTCTTCTTAGAATGAAAAGTTATGAAGTACCAAATTTGGTAAATTGTATTATTTTGAAATCAGCAAAAACTGACACTAAATTTCAAGAGGCCATAACTCCTGAACTAAGAGTTTAAGGAAGTTAAAAAAAAATTTTTTGGGGGGGTGGGGGTAGCTTTTAATAGGTGGGTACAATATAGTATAATTTTGGGGGGTTTAGCTTTTAATAAGTGGGTACAATATAGTATAATTTCATCAAAATCTGTCATGGTGCCAATAGAAATTTTGAACAAACATTAACAACAGCAGCATGTCTAGAAAACCGGAAGTCAAATGGCAACAATTGAAAGCAAAAGTTAGAGTGAGTGTAAAGTGAAAAAAAAAAGAAAAAAGAAAAGGACAAATAATCACAATATTCTATACATACACAAAAAAGATGGGCGCATAGACACACATGCAAAAACTCACACACGCACACTATAACCCCCCTCCCCAAAACTTGCATTAATGAAATGTGCATATAAAAAAGAAAAGTTAAGAAGTATAAGCAGTCAATTGCAGATATCCCCTGATGAGTGGACAGAATAATTAATAATTCCTGGCGTATTTGTATTGAGCATTTTTTAAAGAAATAGTAATTTTGCTTTTTGGTTATCAGAATTTTATTCCATCTATACCAACCCTGTACTTGTGTGTGTGTGTGTATATATATATATATATATATATATATATATATATGAATGAAGAAATAGTCCTAAGATGTGCTATATTTATGGGATAAAGTGCTCAATATTAGAGATAGAGAATGTAAATATAAAAGTGAACATAGAAGTCAACACTTAGAGGTGATAGTCTGTTTCATATATTTCATATATATATATATATTTATATATATATATATATATATATGAGTTATATGCTTATGCATGTGGGGTTGCTTAAAAGTTCCCTGTCTATCACACTTCCCAAAATAAGAACAAACAGCTAAACACAAGAATTTTGAAAGAATAACTTTTTGGTCAGCTTGTGAACTTTTCAGCACCCCCGACATATGTTTATTTCTAATTCTTTAGATAAAAACATATGTATATTTGCTTATTAATTAATTCTATTAATTAATTAAATTTTAATATTTTTCTTTTTAATCATTTCACCCCAAGGCAATAAAGCCACTAAGATGCAAGGGGGGGTTACTGAGTATTAGAGGATATGAGAAGAAAAAAAAACTATTATGGTGCAAGAACAATAAAAGAAGAGCAATTAAATAGACAGAAGATAACAATTGATATTGCCTTTAAATCTTTGAAGATCAAAGTTGACTGGAAAGCAAAAATCTAGGAGAGAATTCTACAACTCAGAGAAGAAATTATTAAAATAGAACTTATGGTTGCATGAAACCATTTCAAATGTAAAATGATGTGACCTTGTTACCAATCTAGTACCGTGCTTAAATTCATAAACAATTGGTATCATATAGAGAAGTTTATTAAAACAACTACCATGAAAATATTTATAGAAAATGTACAGAGAATCTACATTTTGGTGGTGGGAAAGCAACTGATATGAGATGCCAGGTCAGGATTGATAACATTGCAGATTGTTCCTTGTATTCTATCAAGTATCTCTAAATACATAACAACGCACCAGACCAGATGTAGCAGCAATATTCAAAGCAAGGACGAATGCTAGACTTATAAATCTGCAAGATAAATTCTAGCAAGAAAAAAATTGTCTAACAT